GCTGGGGAGCTGCGACCGGGGGGTGCTGTCCCCCAGCATGTGCGCAGGGCAGCCCGGCGCAGCGCCGCGGGCGCTGGGGGGCTTCAGAGCTTCAGGGGAGGGGGTGCCGTGCCGCGGCGGAGTCCGGCCTTGGGCTTGGTTGGGCCGGTGGCTTTTCGTGAGTCGCGAGGGAGTCAAAGCGCCTTACAACGACCGTACGATCCGCGTCCGCTTGAATCGCTCTGCTGAGTTCTCGACGTCAGCTGTCTCGTTTCCAAACCACAAATTAACTGTGAACGTCAGGAAATACTGTAGTTCAGCAAGTCAACTGTACCGTCTTCTGCTGCGAGAGTATGTAGAAACACAGCATGCTACTGATGTATAATCTCAAAAGCTAACAAATCAGAGGAGACGTTGGAGAAGACTGGTATCCGTTTCAAAAATAAACGTGAGAGAGTAAGAAAAACAATAGGTAAGACTAGTGTAAAACAAGTCTCGCACTTAATTTAAACTTCACGTGGAAGAGGAGCAAGACGGGTACTCTTTTGCCTGGCATTAGGAGATCTGCATTTTATGACCCCGACAGCTAAATCATTCAGTTTGTGATTGAAGAGAAATTAAGTGAGGGAAGAAGTCAAACACCAGATACTCTCAAAATCCTATCTGCCTGTGTCAGAATGTAAGCAGAGAATTGCCCAAGGACCAGAAGGATTTGAAGGACCACAAAAGGAATGGTCAAAATCCCTGAATTGGGTAGCAGTATGATGTAATAGCAAAATAATGTATCCATTGAGAAGAGATACTGATAACTTTGTGGCATACAAGTATCTAGAGAGATACCCCAGTTGTGCTAAGCAACTTTGGGCCTCTGCTTTTGTGTGAATGCGTAGCTTTTGATTTTAGATTGATTTGCTAAAAGCATGTTGTCCAATACCTTTGCTTAATGTACGTCACGCCTTCCAGTTAAGGTGGGTGGTCTTTGAAGAGCTGCTACATCTCTTAGAAAGATGTAGTCTTAATTTGACACCTGAAGATTCTCATCACATGAAATACCATCTAAAGGCTTTATTATTTTGAACCCTTTAAATGATATTTCATGTGACGAGAATTCATTCAGTTAATTTATTTCAGTTTCCATGTGTCTAATATGTAATTTCAAGTCATACTGCTTTTCTCTTGATCCTGGGTGTAATGGGCTCCCAGCCTGTTGTGAGGTTGTGTTTTCCTAGAATCAAGAGGAGTTTGGATCAACTAGAATTTATTTAAATTTTGGAACACTGCATGTGGAGTGTTAAACAGGTAGGTTTTGAAACTGTTTTCCTTGTCAGTTCTAGAATTTGGATTTGATGTAGTTATTTGCGAAGGTAAAAAAATCACACATTGATTATGGCCAAAATAAAAAAAATTAGGTGCCCTTTTCCACTGACTTGTGGTCTGTAGGCACCTCAAGTCCTTTAAGGATCAGAGCCACTTCTGGCAATTCAACAATGTGCAGAATGCCTTATTCTCTCTATCTCATGGGTGTAAAAGGTACCTTCCATCATATCTGTTCCACTGCCATACCACTCGTGAGTTATGTGGCAGTGGAACAGATATGATATACCACCTATACAGTATATTACAGTTGATCTGTGATGTCAATGCTGAGAGCCAGGTCAATAGATGAGGAGATACGATGTTGCACTATTAGGTAGCCCAAATGGTATTTTTTCTTTGCAATGATACCAGCTTTTCTTTCAAAGCCATTGTAATATATTTTGAGAAGAGTTTGGGATATAATTGGAAGAAGTGAACATTTCATTTTTGCAATTTTTCTGATTGCTGTAAATATTTTGCCACTAGGTATGAGCATCCTTCAGAGGAAAGAAGACATCTTTTCAGACTGTAAAAAGAAATTTTGGAACACATATAAGGTGAGGCAAGCAATTTGCTTATCTCCCAGCTAAGCAAAAAAATAGTATTATTGGATAAAATATTTGAAATATTCCTTCCTCCAACAGCCTTTTTCTCACTCCGTTATTTGATTATGTGTAGGAAGCTTTAAGTACCAGTGGTCCTGTGAAGTCAGAGTAGTCTGGAGCAGGCATTACTGCCAGATGGGTGAAATGATGCCATTTAAAAAATGTACAATGTTTGTATACATAACACTTGCACCCAGCTCTGTTTGAATGACAGCCCTACAATACAACACGAATTAAGATTGTGCTACCTTTTATCTTAAGAAGTACCCACGCACCAGTGTTTAGTTAGTAATGCGATTGACAACACTTACATGAACACCTGTTAAAATCATTAGTTATAAAGATATCTTTTTTAGGAATCATTTTCTGCCTGTACTTTCAGTGACAGTCTTCTCACTTTCAGAAACACAGTTCCTTGTTTTAAGAAGACTTTGGTATAAATAGCTGGTTTTGGTTTGCATTTTTTCATACACAGGAAAAAATTATCCGTGCTACCTCAGAGCTGGGTAAATTAAGAATTTTAAAGCTTTCTCAGGTGCAAGAATGATAGATTAGCAGAAAAAAATAATCGAAGGAGAAACTGTGACGCATGTGAATTTCTCTTCACACTGTGGAACTATAGGTAGGATAGAAAAGGATTATTTTTATTCCTATGGAGGATGATTCTAAAAACAGTGCCCACTATATCCTATCAAACATAAGGTTTCTATTGACCTTATGTTCTATGAGTAAATTATCCATTGATTTTTGCAAAAAAGCCTTACATGTATGAGTAACTAGAAGGAGCATTGCAAGTGTGAAATAAATAGTGTTCAGTGGTATTTTTCATTCATGGCTGAAACAAATGTTCACATATTTAAACATTTGTTCATCCATCTGGTAAATGTGCTTATGTATCTGGTGTCAGGTGACTACGAAGACTTAACTGTTCTTAGAGTTTTGTATATAAAATGAGTTAGAATAATGTGTTTGAGAAACTCCTAGCATAGAGGCTTATGAAGATGATTAGAAGTTTAATATTGCAACCTGTAAGTTAAGCAACTTAATTTACAATTGAACAGCTTTAATTAACTTTACTCAAATATGTTTCAGTCTTTGCTAAATGGGGTAAGAAAAAATGAATCTTTGTGGTTGAAGTCTGTAAGAATAACAAAGGATTCATTTTCATTTCAGACGGGACTGATGTACTGGCCTTTTGTGCAGGTGAGTTTTTAGGGTAACTCAAGTGAGCCTTTCTTTCTCATAAAACCTGAACTGATGCATTTATAGTAGATCTAACCCAGCGAAAAGTCAGTGGAGTTGTTGGGTGTGCAGGTGTAAGACCTAATAACGAGCACTAACTGAGCTCTCTCTCCTTCCAACACAGCTGTCAAACTTCATTTTGGTCCCTGTTTACCTGCGAACAGCTTACACTGGGCTCTGTGGCTTTGTCTGGGCTACCTTCATTTGCTTTTCCCAACAGAGTGGAGATGGCACAGCAAAGTCAGCATTTATATGGCTCCAAAGAGAGAAGGTCAATGCAGATGAAGAATCATCAGAGAAATAAGAACTTTAGTTCTGAACACATTCTAAATTGTTAAACTGAGTTTATGAAAGTCAGTAAACCACACTGCAGCCTCATTGCTGTGTTTAAAATAAACAGTTATCTCAACATTTGTTGGTTAGTATAAGCAGTGGAACAGTTTGTCTTTGTGCCTGTTTATTTTTCGTAAAAGAGGCCAATTGTATATTGGCATTTAATTATTTTCATGCTGCCAGCCCATCTCTTCAGGGAACAACTGACTTACAGGGCAATGTAAGCATTTGCTCATCATGTCAGACCGCCTCACTGGGGAGAAATATTAGCTGTAATTTAATTTTCAAGCAACTTGTAATTGCTAGAAAAAGGGGAATAGAACGTTAAATCATCAGTTGTTGGACTTGACAATTGTTATCAGTGCAAGATTGCTTTTGCAGAACAAAATTTAATGGATTTCTTATCTAAAAAGTGGCATTGAATCTGTTTTATCCAGAGAAAACAAAAGTGCTGTGTTTTGTAGGGACCACTTTTCTATAGGGGGAAACTTGCTTTATTCTACATTAAAATCTATATAAAACATGAATTATTTCATAGAACATATAAACCTGAAATATATTTGTAGATCTTTTGTCTTAACTTGGAGAATAAAGATAAGTAACTTTGGTCAGAGTTCTTTGGGGTGGATGCTGCATATTGACACCTGGGCAAAGCATCAATCATAAGCAGCTCCTGCACAATGGAACCTAACTAAACACTGCAGTGAGCTTTTGTTATATCTGTCAACGACTTCTTCCTTTGCCCCTCAAGGGTCAAAGTATTGAAGAGCACATGGGAGTCTTGACACCTGGACTCTTTTCTACTGTTTCATTATGTTGAAGATATAATTATGATTTTGAAGAAAAAGAGCATGGGAAGGAAGGTAATGTAAATAATGCCAGAATCCATCTCAAAACAATCCAGCTATATATAAGGGACTTCCATGTCTTCTTCAAATGGCTTTTAAACATTCCTATTCATAAAAGACACTGGGTAACTACACATAGGAGGCTAGGAGAAGGTGAAAATTAATTATAGACCTGCTTTGTCAGCTGAGCATCAGGTCTGAATGCAGGTGTGCTCACTGGTATTTTTTAAAGGTGCATATGTATCTCAGAACAGGAACTGTGCAAATTTCTGTGATTGCAGTAAGTTGAAATCAGACCAGTGAAGAAGCCCTTGGTTTCTTAGAATGGCATTTTATGCCTTGAAGTTACTAAATTGCAAGCTTGAAACAATATCTGATGTAACCCATCTTGATGATGATTGTAAAGAGAAGACTCAACCCTCTCTGTTACAATAATAATAAACCACTTTGAGGAATGTCTAAATTCCTCAGTCTTGTCTAAATAGTAAACCAAAGCCTGTTTAGGCTATAAGCATACATTCCTTTGGCCAGCAGTTGTACTACTTCATATATTGTTTACAGTTATTTGCCACTGTGGGAGCCCAGCGCTGCTTATCTCAGACAGGGAAAGGGATCATGCAAGCACTGCGCACAGGTAAAATCAACTTGTTTAGCATAACCCAGTGGTCAAGAGTGATGCAAGGTACCTGTGTGGCTTTGAATACAGGACTACAGCAGATGGGAGGAGGGTAGATGGTGGGGGGGTGCTTCTACAGTCTGTTTTGCTGGCAGACAGGTGGAGGAGGTAGCTTCCCTTTCAGGATAGACAAGTCACTGCAATTCCATCTTCAGCTGCACAGACAGACCTAGAAGATGACACCTCCCTATGATCTTAAGGTGGAATTAATGTTAATTTACTTTTGACATCTGCGGTATGGACATCTGCAACTTGTCTGATCAGTTTAAGCTCCGTTTACAGTTAGTGGAGGAAAACAGGCAGTTTTAGACATCTGTTTTAGGGTATGGTGAATTGTGCACTGTGTCTATTTCTATCTATAACAGAGAGTCTCAGATGACTGGCTGCTGTGTAGATAGCTTCATTGTAGATGCTCATATTTGGTGAGTTGAATTCCCCTGCCTGGTGTCTATCTTACATGTCCCTATGGGAGCAATTTAGTGGGTGCTGCTGCGTGAATCCCACAGTGTGAACTGGGCAGTCCTGATGCTGGACATCCCAGTAGGAGTAGAAATCCACAGAGGAACTAACTGCATTTTATCTGTCTATTTAAAAAATGAAAGATGACTGAATAGATGTTTCAGACAGCAATAGCTGTTAAATTGTTATTCTGTGTATAATGTCCTCAGGATAAAGAAGCAATTTCAGTAGTGTTTTTTCTGTTGATATTTTTAGGATCAGAATAGCGTTTTAAAGTCTGTTCTATTCAGTAAGCCTTAAAAGTTTCAGATAAGGTGTGCTAATTAAGTATTTGAATTTTTTTTACAGATGCTACTTATTTTTATTTCTGCTTGTGCCTTAAGTGTTTAATGATTAATAGAATTCTCTTGGAGAAGGGAACTGGAAAATAATGACATTACAAGGAGAGTGAAATAGTGTTGGTTTGCTGTAAGTAGTATGTGATGTTCTGCTGCAACTCTGTGCAAAAAATATTTCTGCATGGCTATAGTTGGTAAAACTTAATCCCCAGGTGAATCAAGAATTTAAAACTATTCTCATGATCTGTATAATGCTGACGCTTTTCTTCACTAGGAGTATTTAATGAATGGAAGATCCATCTTTTATTTTAAATGGCTTAAAAGCCTACACAAGCTGTGCTTTATTGCTGTATGCTTTTGTACTGCTAGCTTTTTACTTGGGAATTTGAGCTAAATCCTGCTTTGTCTTCAAGTTTCTCTGACTGTGGGCTTCAGGGTTTCTCTCCATATTTCTATTACTGGAAGTACAATTCTTTCATGTAATGGAAGCCTGTAGCTGTTATATTTCAGTAAACTTTAGATTCTGCATAATCCTTTCACTTCCTCTGTTTCTCATGTTAATGTTCTTGACAGTTAAGTAGCCCAAGTCCCTTTCCACATAAAAAAATCATGTTGTTTTTTTTTTTGTCTAATTATGAGCACTGATTGGTCGTTGAACATTTCAGACCCACATAATACAAAACAATGAAGCTGTGTTGGGACAAATTCTCAGTGTGCATAAATTAATGCACCGTCTAAAGATTTTCTGCCTCTGTCAATTTAGTCTGAGGACCTAACACCTTAGTTGTTAAAGACTTTATTATTTCTTGACAATTTTTTGGCTTAGAAGATTAGTTTCACAGAATAACAGAATGGTTGAGGTTGGAAAGGACCTGTGGATGTCCAGCCCAGGTCATCTAGTCCAACCCTGTTTGACACATATGAACTTTTGTTTGCTTCGTCTAGTAATTCAGTAATTTCTTTAAAAAACAAAAGAAAAAAAGATAGGCAAGACTTGTCCTAATGTCTCTCCACCCTTTCAAAAACATTTGTAACGGCTTTATGACTATTTCAAGGAATTGCACTGATCTTGTATTGCCAGCTGAACATGCAGATTTCCATAACCAGAAAGATTAACAGAATTACACATCATGTAGGTGCTCAGGAAGGAGGGAACACACTGTCAATAACTAGGAATGCATTCAGGTGACATTTTCATGTCATGGGTTCTCTGTAACAGTAAATGGGATGAGAAGACATTTATATCAGGTGCAGTTCCAGCTTATTATTCTGGATAGCTGTGGAGATATAGAGTCTGAATTTGGTAAAATGAGAATTTCAAATGTATTTTTCTACTGCAAATGTTTTATGCAAATGAACCTCCTATGCTTACTAGTATGCAAAATACATCCTTCTAGGCTTGGAAAATTCACCAGAAGGCCTCTGTCTTTTTCACACCAGAAACAACCATCCAGTAACACAGCATAAAATAACCAGTTTCATACTGCAGTGAAGGTGAAACTGCCTGTAGTTTGTTACCATATCTGATACGTTAAGTTCTCTGTATAGCACAACCTTTGAAATCTATGCAGCCTCAGCCTTCTGATTCTCTGCTGTAAGTGCCAATGCTTTCTGCTCGTGCTGCTGCCTCTACTGCTAGTGCCAATCCAGTGAGATGCGCAAGAAATACTTGAATTTTACTAAAATAATTAATTTCAGGTTGACTGAGAAATGTCTGTGCTTTTGCAAAGGCTTAATAAACATTAAATGATGTTCTTTGGCTCTGTCTGTCTTTAAACAGTGTGTGTATAAACAAAGCCAGGTCTTACGCTAAGTTCTTATGCTGTCTTCATGGACCACACGCAGCGAAAAGCTCAATTTGATGTCATAGACCTTACCACAGCAGTAGAGTAAAAGATAAGCAGGGATTGTTCATTCCCTGTAAAGCTTAGTTACATACAATAAGTCATCTGCCACTTCTGAACAAATTCAGAACAGAACTCCCATTTTCAAAGCCTTATGATGAAGCCAGTGGACTTAATTTCTCTTTTATTAAAAAGAGGTAAAACTTTGATGTAATTATCTGTTTAAATAATGAATACATTTGCAGAAGGAACTGAGGAATTCAGGCAGGAAAAAGATATAAAAAACTTTTAAATAGAACAGAGGCTGGCAACGGGGTCCTTATTGAAGGACTGCACTTGTGTAGTTTGTGTGCGATACTCTTGGGAAGGAAATGGTTCAGAAGATTTGAGGCTGAAGGGAGTAATGTATTCCACAACTGGAAGAGAGACACCACCTCTATTCCCTGCTGTAACTTGTATATTTAGAATGAGGAGGAAGCCTTGCGGAAGGGTTTCAAGTTGCAAAATTCTGTTTCATAGACTTCATGGCCAACAGGGACAAAAAAGATCATTCAGTCTGAATCCTTGCATAATGCAAAGCAAAGCGTGTTCCCTCAGTCAAACCCCTTGATGTCGAGTCTCATGCCATCTTCTAGAAAGGTATCCAAAGACTTCAAATAATGGAGGATCTTCTGCATCTCTAAGAAATTATTTATGTATTTTTACAAAATTTTATCACCTTGCTAAATCAATCTAGCCTTAACATTCTAATAAGATGTTGCTACTCCCTTTCTGACAAGATTTAAAGACTTGGTACAGCAGTCAAAGCCTTCTGTATGCATGTAGTGGTAAACTGTTAAAATTTTTATTTAATCCTTGGGTAAACTAAATAGGTTTAGCTCTGTTAGCCCCTTGCTAAATCATTCTTCGAGCTCTTTTGTGAACCCTTTTTTGCTGTGCAACCTCTGATTTGAAATGTAGGTAGTAACGCTGTAAAGATTAATCCCGGTGACCGGTACATATATGCCTCATATAGGTAATATTTTTTTCTACTTCTGTCTAATACTCCTGTGCTTAACCAGCCAAAGACTGTATGTGCTCCCTGAATTTCAAAGTTACACTGAGAATTAACATTCAGTTGCCAGTCCACAATGATCAAAGTTACTTTAATCCATTTTAAACAAGAAGGAAGAATGCAGATTACATATCTGTATGAGGGTTGCATATACTCTTCAACATCATCCACCCTAACAAACACTGCCTTTCCTTTTTTTGTAGTTTATTAATTTAATGTGGCAGTGCCCAAAAGGCTTGCACCATGTATCCAGATAGAAAAACAGACTTCATTGCAAAGAGTATAGTAAAATGCATCGTTCCCCTCCATGCAA